CAGTTTCATCCAAGATACGCGACCTTCATTTTACACCCCTTGATAGGGACTCCAGGTGGTTGCGGACAGAAGATGGTCGACCACTTAGAGTCTCATCATATCAAGGTTTCGATAAGGACGCTATTTTTAAATTTATCGTTTACAAAATATTGTACATGTGCTTTTTTTTCTTTAATACAGTTTAGTTTAAGTGATTTGTTTTTGTATTATTACACTACGTGAAATTCAAATATTTACGTTACATCCCCTATCGAATACTCAAGCGCTAGTGAATGCGGCTGGGACAAGGCACACCGGTGAAGAAATATTGACGTGATCTAAGAACGAAACTTATAGAGGAATTTAAATAGAGATGACAAAACCACATGGGAACGAATGGTAAAAGAATTGTGATGAATTTAAAATTCAATGAAGTAAAAAATTTTTATTTACTTAAAACAAACAATTTTTCACCATTTAAAAATATGTCAAACGGACCAAAATTCACTGAATTATTTTAGTGTACATATTCAAATTTTTGTTCTTGCATTATCTATAATGTAAAAACTGTTGAACAAGATGTTACATTGTTGAGATAAGTGTCACAAAAATGTGTACATTAGGTGTGTCGTGATGTCCCACTTATTTAAAAAAAAATCACAGTTAAAATAACTTCAAGTGAGTACAAAGTTCCAAATTTTTATGCCATAACAATAATGTTTATTTAAAAAAGCGAGTGTCCGAGTGTTTTGTTTATTTTATAAGACTAGATAAGTTACTAGGGGGATAACATTTAATGCAGTGTATTGTATAGTGATTATTAATCGCTGATAAATGAATTATATGTTATCTTTTAATTCACCCAGGAATTTTATATTATATTCTAATAGTTCTGGAATTTGATGTTGATTAGCTAAGCATGTAATTCCCTGGAGAGTTCATCAAACCATAAGCAGCAGTACGGCTGATTTTTGTCGCGGCATTAGTACGTGGGGTCTAATAGACCAAACAAAAACGAAACGAGGCATTATCAGGAGCTACAACAACATTTTTAAAAAAGATATGTTAATTTTTTATTAAAGGGGGAAACATTTTTTTAGTATTCTCGACTATTTTACTTTCATCCCTAAGCCAGGGTAAGAATCACCCCAATTTTTTTTAATAGCAACGGGCATTAAAGAAGATATTGTTTAAAAACCCTTGTAATTCAGAGAACACTAGTCTTTCAATTTTTAAATTTCGTCCAGTGCTTTATTTGATTTATTAAAAAAATATAAAACTACAATTATCGTTTTTATTATTTTTAACTGGTTACAAACTTATTACTTGAAACGTTCTCTCACATTCAGAAGCATTTGTAAAATGATTCGTCGGCATTTGTTGACGTAAATCTTCTAAAGATGCATGTTCCATAGATTTGAGCTTTTAGGTATCTCCACAAAAAGAAATCCAGGAGAGACAAATCTGGTCACCGAGGAGGCCATTGGATGCTGCCTCTCCTCCCAATCCAATGCCGTTGAAAATGTTCGTTTAAATATTGACGAACAAATAAAGCATGTTGCGGTGGTGCGTCCTGTTGAAAAGTCAAACGCTCTTTTATTTTTAATAGTTTCAGTCAAGTCAGAGTAATCCCGTCTTTCATTAATTGTAAATACACTTCGCCAGTCAAATTGCCAGATATAAAAAATGGTCCCACCAGTCGATCACCAAAAGATGTATGTCCCATACATTTAATTTTTGCAGTAACTGCAAATGCACCTCTTGGAAGATCCTGTCGTTTGAAAGGCAATTGTGACGATTTACAGTTCCGTTTACAAAAAAGTGCATTTATCGAAGAAGCAGATATTAAATAGAAACTGAGAATTGGTCACGGTCGCTCACTCATTATTTCACAAAACTGTAAACGGCGGTCAAAATCATTTTCATTACTGCAGAATGGGATGACTTTGATTCTATGTGAGTTTGATAGAACATGAATATTTTGTTTCAAGAGAGTATGCAACCCAAATGTTTCATCCGTTATGGTGGTTGTCTAAACTTAATTTCAGTACACATGTTGATTAACGGTAGCTGATGGCGTTTGTGGCGAATATCAAAAGTACACTCTTATAAATGCACTGTTAAAATTTTTGTTTTAATTTGAAGATTTTAGATTTTGTTACTAAATTTAAGCATAGAGCTCTCACCATACAATTTCATGTAATTTTGTGTATGTTGCCTTAATTTATGTTTAACTGTCAATATTTTAAAATATTTAACCTAAGTTATTTCCGTGACTACTTCATGAAATTATATGATTTCTTCTCCGGGGTCACTTTGATACATTTTTCGGGGTGACTTTGTTATTTTATTTCTTTTTATAGTTTTCGTATTGAAACTTCAAACCGTTCATTAATTTCAGATTTTCATCATTATCTATATAAAAAGCCAAAATGCCTCGAGTTTATAAATGAAAGTTGGGATCAGGAAGCTACAAAAACTTCTCTGACGAAACTCTTGAATATGCTCTGCTTTAAATAATAAACGGAAACTTGTCTGTTAGAGCCGCTTCACAAAGATTCAAAATTCCGCATGGTACTTTATATAATAAATACAAAAGGAAGCACGGGCAAAATCAATCGTGTCCTGCATTGTCAAATGTGCCGATTGGGGATTTCGATTATCGACGTTAGATGTATAACTTTTCACTAAGAGTTATTTAGAAATAACTGGAAGAATTATTTCTAAATTTAAAAACGGGGTCCTAGTAATGACTGGGTAACCCATTTTTTAGAGAGGCATAGTCAGCAAATCTCTGAACGACTTGCGTCTAACATTACTAGAGCTCGGGCAGGTGTCACAAAAGAAACGATAAAATTATATTTCAATAATTTAAGAACAACTCTCTTAAATTGCCCTCCATCGCACGTTTTTAATTATAATGAAATCAACGTAAGTGATGATTCGGGGAACAGAAGATTGCTATATAGAAGAGGGACCAAATACCCAGAGCAAATCACTAATCATAGTAAAGCCGCCACATCAATAATGATGTGCGGTGCTGCTGATGGCACACTACTCACTCCTTATATAATATATCGCAGCGAACATATGTGTGATGCGTGGAGATTAGGGGGTACACATGGCTCTCTTGTTGTAGTAGTGGATGTTGCGAAAGAGGAACTAAATATAACCAAACAAAAAATGGGTGAATGGAGGTAACTTGTTTTACAGACTGGTTTGAGATCATATTATTATCACACGCAAGACAGCTGGAAGGTAAAAAAGTTATGATCGGTGACAACTTGACGTCTCACTTTTCAGATCATCTATTACAACTATGTGAATTGCATAATATTGAATTGACGTGCCTTCCAGTAATTTAACATACATATGCCAGCCTTTGGATGTATCCTTTTTTAAACTCATGAAAGTTTCTTGGCGAAAGATATTGAAGGAATTTAAATTGCAACATCCAAAAATTACTGGTGTACCTAAAGATCAATTTCTGTCGTTATTAAAAAAATGCTTGGAATTAATCCTGGATCGGACAACTGCAAAAACTGAGCACAAACGTGGAGACTGTAAAGAAAGTGCAATTAAGAGGGTTTTGAAGAATGGGTTCAAGGCTTGTGGCATGGTTCCTTTCGATCCAAATTGAATATGTTGATTATGTAGAACCTCTGATTAACGACAGCCTCGCAGACTATTTGATGAATAAGAAGTCCGCGGTGGAAGTTATTAAACGTCGAAGTAAAAAAAACTTAATATCAAACCCACAACACCCAGCATGTCTTATACACCTTTTTCTTTAAGTTTATAGGAATGGAGGTGTTTTTCAAGATATGTGCTAGTTTGCTGAAAGCACCCCATGCCAGTTGTGTTCTTTTAATTTCAGCATCTTGATTTGGTTTTCCTAGTTTAATAACATGACCTAGATATACGTAATGTTCAACATTTTCTATGGTATGATTTTGTATTGTTATATTTGTCTGGTCTCGGCTCAGTATTTGTGTTTTGCTGTAGTTCATTTTTAAGTCTACCGCTCCTGAAACTGCATTTAATTGTTGTAACAGATCATTTGGTTCATTAATAGATCTATTAAAACTATATCATCTGCGAATCTCAAGTGGTTTATACCCTTAAGTTGATACCCTTATTGTTCCATTCCAGTTTCTTAAAAATATCTTCTAGAGCCAGGATAAATAGTTTGGGAGATACTTTGCAGATATAGTGAGAAATGAAAATAAATACAGAATCCTACTATTGATATTGGAAGGGAAAATAGAAGGAAATAGAGGACCAGGACGCCGCCGAATATCCTGGGTTAAAAATTTGGGACAGTGGACAGGTATGACCACCACAGACCTATTTCTAACATCTGCTAATAAACTACGATGGTCCATTGCGGTAGCCAACACTTATACAGGATAGGCACTAGCAAAAGAAGAAGAAGACTGGTCAAGAGATTAATTTCAAATAATTGTCTAAATCGCCGTTAACTTAACTAAAGCACGTTACCTTTAAATGATGATGGATAAGGTATTCTTAACTCCATATTGTTCTAATTCTAATAACTTCTTGTTTTCATTTAAGTATGTAAGTAACAGGCTTCATTGACCAAAAGACTGTATCATGTAATAATGTTTAATATGAACTGTTCATACTGTACTACTGAAAATAATAATAACTAAGATGTACAACAGTCCATATTGTACATCTTTATTATTATTACTTTTAGTAATATAGTATGATGATAATTTATTCTAAAGTGCTTAACCTCTATTTCTTCCATAAGACCTCGTGCTGCCTGTACCATATCATAGTCCTGTCAGAACTTTACAATAATAAGCTATTTAGTCCCATGACAGACCGTATACTTTGATTTTAGATACTTCTTTTCCAATACAGTTTTTTCTGACCTTAAGTTTTTTATAGCCAAACACAAAAACGATAATCCCAGATAGTTGAAAGCAGAAAATAACATGCAGTAAATACAAAAAAGTGCGTGTTTTTATGTCTTTATTTTTATAATGCAAGGCTTAATAAGTTATATAGGGTGGACGTATGTACAGATCTAACAGATTTTTAATACTGTAATAGTTTTTGGGATTTTCCTTCACTGTGAATTGCGAATCTATTTCTAAATACTTAACAGCGTCGGGTTTTACTTCTGACCAAATGCCGTTTTGAAGATCTTCATCGACATCGGGAGTGGGGTTTCTAAAATGTAGAAAAGCATGTTATACTAATCCTTTGTATAAAAAATGTATATAGTAACTTTTAGTTGCCTGATTACGTGTTTTATGGAAAGTAATTGCCTGATTATAAAATTTAAAAAAGTAAAAGTAGTGATCAATGGTAAAAGCATACAACCCTGTCTCATTCCTTTTATATTAAGCATTTCTTTTTATATGTATCCAGCTATTTAAACAATGGTAATATATATAAAGATAAAATTATAAATTATTTAAATATCTTCGTTTATCAAGTTGCCTTCTTTATAAGTTTTATAAGTTTCTACAGTATTTATTCAAAGTTTATGCTATTTAATAAATAAAAAGCATTAAGGTCATGTATAAATTTATACATCTATGGCCAAATGCTAAAAACTGCACAACAACTTGCATTACTAATAAAGCCTGTCGTGTATCAAAACATTTCGCTAACTGAATTGCATGTGGTGAATTTTTAATATATGATTATTGTGTGTATCTTTTAAAGAGCGCATGAAAATGCAAAAAAGGAATAAAAAATAAATAGTTTAATACTTTAACCTTTATCCAACATAAAGTATACTGGCGACACAGCGGTGTTAGCAGATGCCGATCGTAGAAAATCTTAAACTCTTTCTAAACAAACTAACTAGGGAAAGCGACGATTTTGGTCTTAAAATAAATACGACTTTAGGAAAGATCATAATTATCCAACAAAATCCGAACTTGCAGACAAATAATTAATTCCCAAACCAAATCTTCGGTCTTGCGTGAATTATTGTCAAGGTATTAGCAATTATTTGTTTGGTTTAAAGGGACCTTCTTTACTATTTCTTGTTGCTTTATAATACAATTATACTTACTGGTATTTAATAAAATTAGTCCACCACTTTAATATAGCTTTTCGAAGATTTTCATTAACTTCTCTACGAGGAGCTCCAGCCCATAAATACGGCACTTCTCCTCCATGTGGGACTCCTAAAAAATATCTTAATTAAACAAAACCACAAAAATTGCATTAAAATCTTCACAAGCGTCACTAGAAGTTTATTTGGCAATTTAATTTCAGTCTTGCCTTCATAGCAACCAATTAATCAAACTTATATATCATTACTTTGACATAGTTAACGATCTCAGAGGCTATATTGACAGCAATGATCTATTATATCCTAGCTGCTACCAAACACGCTAACCAATATATTCATCAGCATTACTCCACATAACTACTACTAAAGTGGTAGAGAAAGTGACTCATATTTTCAATGTTGACCTTTTGCGGGTTTGAGGGGAAGGGAAATCGATGAGTCAAAGGCTGTACTGTTTTTATTTAAAAAAATAATCAGGATTTTAGAACGAACTGATTGTCATAAAAATTATTTTCTTATTTTATAGATGCCTTAGGTATATTGTCAAATGAGATTTAACCCTAGAATACAAACGTTTTTTTAACATATGTAAATGCTAACTATACGTAAATTTTACGTACTCACTGATTTAGTTCTAGTTTTTTTAAAAAGACAATCAAGATTTGATTTCACGTACAAAGCGTCTATGTATCTGTTTATACGCATTTCGGCCTAATAGGGCTCATCAGAACAGCTATTCATAGACATCCTCAACGTGAAAATAAATCTTTTCTGTCTTTAAGAACAATACTAAAATGGCTTCGATATGGACGCAATAGCGATATCTGATAATAAATCTGTAAAATAGTTTCGAAACCAATTCAGATTTCTGCTTTAATCTGAACCTTCTAAAAATTGCAAGGCAAAACAGACGTTGATAAAGATGTTAATAGTTTTTTCTTTTTATTTCATATCTACTTAAAACAAAATGGTTTAATTTCAATATTATTTAGGTTTATTTAGAACGATACAAATAAAAAAAACATTGATATATTAATAATCCAAACATAAACAACATAAAATAGACACTTTTGACACAGAACAGAATCTTGTAATAATATGTACACGATAAGTCTGTGCATATAATAAACATTACAAATATAGAAACGATAACCTTCTATTGATGTACAAATTCCATACACATTTTTATTTGATGCTCTCCACGCAGGGCACTCCCACACTTGTAACATTTGGTAGTTGTCATTCGTTTCTTTGCTATAGAGCATAAACTACAGTAAATCCATTTTTCTTTCCTTTGGAGACCTCAGCGGTCTTCAGTACAATGCGTTAAATTCAAAAGCATGGAAAGACTCTCTTTAAGACTTCTTAATAAAGTTGGTACTGTTTGGAGTCTTATTTATTGCCACAGCTTCGTTAATTGTTCATAAAGTTTTAGCATAAAATTTAATTTTGATAATGGCTCCTGTTAGTTTTTAGTTGCATTGTGATGGTAGATCACAAACGCGTTTATTCCTGCAATATTCATAATATTGTAAAATATCCATAGTGCCACCTTCTAGTCTTCCTATTGCAGTAAATATTCTGAGACATTTGGTCAAAAATATCTACAGCCTCTTTAGTTGAATGATATGTATGGATTATTTCGGGTTTTGTTGTTTTATGATTAATGTTTCCAGGAAAATGCATAGTTGAAAGTAGAAAAACTGTCTTATTTTGCTTACATTTATAAAATAATAAAGTCATGTTTTCATCGTACACAAACATACTTGAACCGCACTTCCAAGTTTTGTTATTGAGCAATTTAGGAGGTATTTCTCTTTTGTTGTTCCGGAGTGTTCCGACCATTGTCAAATTGTAAGAGAAAGATAATAATTTAGTTGCAAGAGGGATGCTGAAAATTCAGTTGTCCATTGTCACTTTACGTCTACTTCCATGTAAAAGTCTCGTCAGGTTTGTGACAAAATGTTCTGCTAAAGGAATGCCGTTAGTTGCAGTAGATTTACCCAAATACGGTGTTGCATTTATTACATATTTCGTAGCCACATCGCAAACCATAAGATTTTTATGCCGTATTTACTAGGTTTGTTTGGCATATACAGGCGAATTGGACACCTGTCACGAAATCCTAGGAGTTGTCGATTGTCACATAACACAGTTTTCTATAAACAAGTTCCAAGTTTTAGATATTGAAGCACAACTACTTTCTTTTTTACGTTCTTCGCTTGTCAAGAAGAAGTTATTAAATCGTAAGGAATTAATTAAAAAGTTAAACCTTTCTCTACTCATTGTTGCTTTATATCTATGGACACAATAATTGCTATCAAATACAAAGTTAGCTAAGAGGTAATTATTTTTTAAAGCCGCAGATAAAAATAACACACCTAACAGTACTTTCAGTTCAGGCAATGTCGTTTCTAAAACAGTACCTTTTTTTGTCTTGTACTTCTCTTGTAACTCTGCAATTTTTTCGTTTGTACATAGCAAAACTTGGTTCACAATCTGATCTGTAAAAAATAAATTAAAAACATCTATAGGTTCTAGAGCATCTTTAACTAAGTTGGTTGGACCTGGACGGATATAAACAATATTTCTCGATGCGACATTACGACCTCCATCATTTATTGGTAAATTACTCCACTTATAACCGTTTTTACCTATTAAAGACTGTTTATCCTATATTATAACAGACGATCTTTGTTCAATACGGTTATCAGTATATGTTGATTCTGATGACGGCTGCTGCGTAATTTTAATTCTTTTACGAGAGCATGTATTTCTTGTTTCTTTGTAAGGTTCTGCTGGTGTATCTGCCCAGTTGTTAGCTAGTTTTGTGAAGATATTTCCTTCGTCGCTGTCAAATGGGTTTTCTAACTCCTCTAGATCATATTCTGTATCACTTAAATAACTGGAGTCACTTTTATTTATAATTTCCTCCAATTCTTTCTCAAAAAGAGGACGCTTTAGATTAACATTTGATTTTGCACACATCATATTTATATGTTAATAATAATATTAACACGTCACAATTACGTACAAAACTTTTTACGCGAATACTAACCGCACGTAACCATGAAGTGAGGATAGCGTAGCCCACGTGGCTAAGCATTGTCACGTTTAGTTTTCTTTCAGTAGATGTCAGATTAAAATTGGTTCGGATACATCGTTGATGTGTCTCTAATACAAGCTGATGTTTAATGTATAAACTATGTATTAATTGGCAGTATTATGAAAATTTGTTGACCATTGGACGACCTAACCACTTAATTGGGAAGCTACACTCATATTGCAGTTTTCCGGAGGACTTAACGTCTAATTGGGAGGCCACGCAATCATTCTCACTAATTCATTGTTAAGCATTGGCAACGTTGATTGTTTTTTTATTTTTTTATTATTATTTTTTTTAATAAATATGATTGGTTTAAAGTTGTTTTATTTGCTATTAGCTAAGGGTTCAATATTTTATTCCCGTTTAAGACAAAACGAACTCAGACGAACTCACACTTGAGAAACTGAGCTAGACAAAGCATAGACGATAAGCTCCCATGGTTGATTGAGGTATTAATTTTATAATGGTACTTCAATTCTCTTTAGTAATCTTATCGCTACAAAGTTAAATTATAAAAAAGTAGAAACCGCTGAGCTGACAAGTGAATAACAGTTTATTAGTTTTATTTTTAAAACTTACCTTGTTGAGTGCTATTCTCTGGTAACCAAGTTAGCTCATATAGATATACTGGTACATACTTAGAGGCACTTTCAGCTTGACGTATTGTTGATCGTCCAAAAACTTCGTCACTAGTAAACTAAAATTAAATACTGTATCATTAGTGTGTTATGATAAAACTCTCGATTTACAATAAAAATCCTAATGAACTAACCCCTAAATTACAGTACGTCAAGCCGTTTAGATATTGTAAGTTTTTATGTGATAGCATTACGTGTATATTTGTTGAATTCTAGCACGTGATCCCTAACACATCTCTGTGGGCTCTGCCATTTGGGTTCTATAAGTTTAAGATCTATATGGCATGACGCAAGTTTTTATTTTTCTATAAATTTGTATCGTTATAAAACATATTAAATAATTGTATGGTTTTTTAATGATCATTCTCAGTATATTTTACCGATTATGGTGTACCCTTCATTGCCTAGCCGTCCTTCATTTCTGTCCACGATTGTCTAATATTCGCTTTTCTGTGCCATGTTGCATTGGCTTGTCCCGTTATGTCATAGTCACATCTTCAACTTGAACGTCGTTTTGGTCCCTTGACGCCTATTGGGTACCACAGTGTAATTCTAGTGGACCATCTATTTTATGTATTTCTGACTACATGTCCCACCCACTGCCATTTTAAAGATTTAATTTTGTGGATTAGATCAATGAGTTAGGTTTTCTGTTTGATCCATTCAATTCTATTTCGATTTCTCTTTGTTATACATGCATTACCCCTTGTCCGTATGTCATGATTTGCGATCGCAAAAACAAGACAAACTAGAAAGGTATTACGAACAACAAAACAAGTAAAGAAAATCCTAAGGGCACGGAAAAGAAAATATGTACCTATATAGATAATAAACTAAAGCGTATTAAAGAAAATTACAAGAAAAATAAAATAAAACATTTTTACAAAGAGATAAAATGCATTAAAACTGGTTATGAGGGAAGAACTATAAATGTAAAAAATAAGCAATGAAACTTGATAGTGGACGAAGATCAAATATTTATGTGAAAAGTGCAAAGAATACTTCGAAGAGATAGTAAATGACGGATTACTACTAAAGAAAATTATAATGTTTCTTAAACCTCAAATAGTAATAGAAGAAATATCAAAGCCCACAAGTGAAGAAAGTAAAGGAATAATCAAAGATATGAAAAATTAAAAAAGCCCCGGGAAGAGCGGCATTCTGTCAGAGAACATAAAATATGGAGGAGCGGCTTTAATAAACCAACTTAGTGAGCTAATACTAGAAGTGTGGAATACCGAAGAAATGCCTCAAGAATGGAACAAGTCTAATATAATTTCTATACACAAAAAGCGAGATAGAACTGTATGTAGAGGAATATCCTTCTTAACTGTCATATATAAAGTGCTCGCCATATTAATTAAAAAACGATTAGAAATATATCTAGAGAAGAATCTAGGAGAATACCAGGGAGGATTTCGCAAAGGAAGATCAAGAACAGATCAAATTTTTATGGTAAAACAAATTCTGATCAAATGCTATGAATACAATATTTCAGCACAAGTACTTTTCATTGTGTACAAAGCTGTCCACGATACAATAGACAGAAACAAATGAATAAAGATGCTAAAAGAATTTCCAGTGCTAGAAAAAATAGTCTCCTCCTCAATCCTTTATCCTTCATAAGGATGTGCTGACGTTATGGTATTTGACGAATGGTTGCTATCCATTCTTCTCTCTCCTTCTACATCTACATTGACTTTAACCTCCAACCTATCCATTCCTCTCCATTCCATTTCAAAGGCCATTATCCGTCATGAGTCGGACTTTTTAATGGTCCAAGTTTCTGACGCATAGGTAGCGATAGAAAAGATCTAACGCTACCTACCTATGATCTAGACGCTAAAATCTATCCAGATTTTAGTAAGTTTGACCGTTGCTAATCTGGCCATTGTAAGGCGTCGACGTATCTCTTCTTCGCATCCACCATTGTTTGTGATAACCTAAGTAATTGAAACGGCTTACCATTTCAAACCCCGCTACGTTTCGTATTTCCGGCTGGTTATTTCTAATTCGATCGATTATTATTACCTTGGTCTTCTGTACATTAATTTTAAGTCCATATTCACGACTAATAGTATCTAGTCTATTCATGATGTATTCAATGTTATTTGTTAATGATGATAGTACTAAAGTGTCGTCAGCATAGCGTAGATTGCTGATTTTTCGGCCTCCCACTGATATTCCTCCTTGCCATTAGTCGAATACAATACGCGTGATGTGTTCGCTATATATATATATATATATATATATATATATTATATATATATATATATATATATATATATATATATATATATATATATATATATATATTGAATAACGTGGGAGAGATAATACATCCTTATCGAGCACCGGCTTTTAGTATAAAATTATCGGAGTATATGTTGTTGATTCTTACATTTACTGTGTTGTTAATATACAGTTGTTTCAGTAGGTATATTAGATGTTCGGGGGTACCCATTTTTCTTAGTATTCCTCACATTTTATGCCACTTCACATTATCGAACGCTTTCGAGTAGTCGACGAAGCACAAATATGTTTCTAGATTAAATTCTAAAGATTTTATTCTATGTCTTATGGATTGGTAATGACGTTCCCAAGTTGTCTTTAATTATCTGCGTAGAAAAAATAGTCTTCTTCTCATGGCGCTGTCTTCTTTCGAAGGTTGGCGATCCAAATGGCAATTGTGGTTTTGTAAACTGCTGCGCGAAAGATTTCTGCGGATGAGCGGTCGAACCATCTCCTCAGGTCTTTCAGCTATGAGTTCCGGCGTATTACTACTGATTTTGCCCTGTACTTTTTTTTTTCAGTATAACTTGAGGTAATTCATATTTTTCGCATCTTTACACATGACCCAAGTATTGCATTTTCCTCTTTTTGATTATTCTTAAAAAATAGTGAGATTGGTAAATTTGACTACCTTAAATATTGTCTACTTTGCTATTCAATATAGTTAAAAAAAATTGTAAGGGTTAGTGATATAAATCGGTCCGGCACTAATTTATATAAAGAGCATGCTGATGATGTGATTTTCATTGAAAAAATGGAAACGAACAGGCAAAGTATAGCAAAAAGACTGATTGGGGAAAGCTCTAAAATGGGACTGAAAGTTAATATTAATAAATTAAAGTACATGAAAATCTCGAGGTTCCTTTAAATTGGAGGTGGAGGGTGGATCAGTTGTAGAATTCGAGAAGGTGGATAAATGTACATACTTAGGTACTCTTATTGATCAGACATTCAAGAAAGAAACATAAACCTGAGACTGAACAAGAGCAACAGATGTGCTGGTGTCATGAGCAAAATAATTAAAGCCAAAGATATATCTCGTAATACAAAAATAATAGTATACAAAGCTATAATTATAACCACAATGCTATACGCTGTCGAGACATATACTATAAACAAAACAATACAGAACAGATTAAAAGCATGGGAAATAAAGATACTTTGGAGAATATTTGGTGAAAAAGTAGTAGAGGAAGAATGAAGAAGACGAACTAATGCAAACATGTACCAATTATATGCCAATTATATACGCTAAAAACAGTGGTGAAAAAACGTAGATTAGACTAGATCCGATATCTAGAGAAAATTGCAAGGTAATATACTGGTCAAGAATATTGATTGGAGAGTATCTGAGGGCAAAAAAAGAGGAAGATCAAAAAAGATATGAAGAGATGTAGTGATGCAATATGTCAGAGAGATGGGAATCGGAGATTGGAGCGATTGGAAACTGATAGCGAAAAACAGAAAACGATGGAAATTATCCATCCAACATTGGGCCTAAAAGCCCTGTTAACGCTGTAATACATTCATACATGTCATAACTGGTAGTACAATATACTGATCAAATACTTTTTTTCAGGTAGACATCCTGGATTTGAATATGGGATTTTATTAACCCTGCTGTCCTGTTCGGGTCTATTTGACCAAAAAAAAAATTTTTTTCTTATTTTACAAATTATTACGCGGCGTAACGTTTTGGTGTTTCGTGACTTTATTACTTAATATGAGGTCTTTCAATTGCATAAAAGATAAAAAATCAACTTGCTCATTTTTTTGATAAAAATTAAATTGTTACCTATGGTACGCTCGGGTCAATATGACCCACTTATTTAAACCGTTAAAAAATACCTGTATAGGTATGTTTAGTTGGTAGTATTTTATATTTTCTAATAGTGTTTGTCAGTCAGGTACGTCTATAAATAAAAACAAGTTTCTACAAGCTAGAACTTGTAAGTTAAGTAGTAGTAAAATAAGTGTAGTGTAGCTGGACGATGTCAGGTAGAATGGCATGTCACGTAAAAGGAAGTGGGGGTGATAGACAAGTGGTAAAACACTAATATTCCAAGGCCAAGCGCATTCATTTATTCGTTTATATTTCAAATTTCAGTCTATGTTTGCATGTTGATAATGTCGCACCGTAGAGCGCTAACCGAAGATGAGCTTCGCGAGCTCGCGAACGTGTGATGAGTGCATATCAGAAACAGAAAACAATACAAGTAGTGAGAGTGAGGAAGAAAGTAGTGATGAATCCTTTGGTGTTGAAACGAATAAAAATTTGTGAATTGACAAAGTTCAGAAGAACTGAAAGAGAAGGAAGGAAAATATTAAAAATATGGCTCAGCTCAGAGGAACAAAGTTAAACGGCCAAAGAGACACTAAATCTCAAGTGAGTGTTCGGGCTAGCTTCGATGCACTGGATTGCGGCTTTAAAGATACAACAGATAACAAGGATAATGAGCTAATGAGACAAGAAACGAAATGAGACCTGACAATGTCAAACGTGATATAACTAAAGAAGGTCACTGGGAATAAATTTATAGAAAGAGAACACTAAGAAGAGAAAAGAAGGGCGCCAACTCAACGATAGTTGAGATTTTGAAGTAACAAATAAATCTGGAGATAGTAACCTGAAATACAAAAAAAACTAAATAATAATCTTATTTTGCTATGTTATATACTGGTTAGTAGAACTGAAATAAAACTCAAAATAGTAACAACAAATATATTTATAAAAAGAATGTATATAGATACATGTGTATAACCAATT